TAACTGTCTGGTTTGGTTCAGCTACAAAATCAGACATCAGAAGACTAAAGAGAACGGTTCGGACTGCTGAAAGTATTATTGGTGCTCCCCTGCCCACCCTTCAAGAACTGTATACATCCAGAGTGAGGAAAAGGGCTCAGAAAATCACTCTGGATCCCTCACATCCAAGTTATCCCCTTTTTGAACTTTTGCCATCTGACCGGCACTACAGAGCCGCAAATACCAGGACAGCCAGGCACAAGAACAGTTTTTCCCCCAGCAATCTGCCTCATGAAGAGTTAAATGTTCCCCACATTATGCAATAAAAATGTGCAATAACCTTATATTTATTTGTTACCACTTCCATCCTAGTACATCCCTGCATCTAATTCATCTATCATCTATAGCACAACTGTACATACAATTTCTTTTTTTTCTATTTTTTTTCAATATTTGTCTATTTATATTTACATATGTGTATTTTTTTTATTTTCATCCATCTGACCGGCACTACAGAGCCGCAAATACCAGGACAGCCAGGCACAAGAACAGTTTTTCCCCCAGCAATCTGCCTCATGAAGAGTTAAATGTTCCCCACATTATGCAATAAAAATGTGCAATAACCTTATATTTATTTGTTACCACTTCTATCCTAGTACATCCCTGCATCTCATTTTATTCTATTAAATTATATAATCTATAGTACAACTGTACATACAATTTATTTATTTTTCGATCTATTTTTCAATATTTGTCTATTTATATTTACATATGTGTATTTTTTTTATTTTCATCTTATTTTCTATTGTCTGTGTGTTGTTGTTGTCTCTGTTTACTGGAAGCTTATGTCACTAAAACAAATTCCTTGTATGCGCAAGCATACTTGGCAATAAAGCTTTTTCTGATTCTGATTCTGATTATACCGTGGAATTTATACATATGGGATCCACTTGGGTCACCATATATGGAACCCAGCCCTCTACCGGTTCTCACGGATTCATCGAATGAGGCCCTGGCGCCAGACGTTCTGCCACATCTGGCTGCCGAGGGGATGGAGGAGCTCGACAGGGTCTACAGTATGGACTCTCTGGAGCAAGTGTCACTATTTGTGACATAGCAAGCCGACATTAAGCCAGGGCCTCTCAGTGCTTCTACCCGTTTGATGTGAGAACACAGGAGGATACCGGCTCAACACGAAGGCTATAGAACCTAGCAAAAGTGTTGGGGGTCACCCAGCCTGCACCTCTACAAATATCTGACTGCAAGATGCCACGAGCCAGCGCCCAGGGAGATGCAACACTTCTAGTGAGCACGCAACCTGAGCGGGCTCAGTTAAGTACGCCCTGTGCCTGATAAGCCAGGGCGATGGCATCCACTATCCAGTGGGCCATCCTCTGTTTAGAGACAACATTCCCCTTCTGCCGACCTCCGTAACAGACAAAGAGCTGCTCTGAGGTCCTGAAGCTTTGTGTCCTGTCCACGTACAATCAGCTTGGACGGGACAGAGCAAAGATAGGGTTGGGTCTGCCTCCTCTGGGGGCAGCGCTTGCAGGTTCACTACCTGATCCCTGAAAGGAGTAGTAGGAACTAGTAGGAACCTTGGGCACATAGCCGGGGCCTCAGGGTTACCTGGAAGTCAGCCCGCCCAAACTCTAGGCACGATTCATCGACTGAAAATGTGTTCAGGTCCCCTAACCTCTTGATGGAGGCCAATGCAACCAGGAGCAGAGTCTTCATTGAAAGAAACTTTAGCTCGACTGACTGCAAAGGCTCAAATGGGACACGCTGTAGTGCTCTGAGCACCAGAGACTGATCCCAAGAGGGTATAGAGGGAGGTCGAGGAGGGTTCAACCTTCTTGCCCCCCTAAGGAACCTGATGACCAGGATGTGCTTCCCCACTGTTTTCCCCTCCACAGGGTCATGGTTGACAGAAATAGCAGCGACGTAAACTTTAAGGGTGGAGGGAGACAGCCTTCACTCCAACCCTTGCTGCAAGAAGGAGAGCACAACTCTGATCAGACATCTTTGGGGGTCCTCTCGATGAGAGGAACACCACTCGGTGAACAGGTTCCACTTCAAGGTGTAAGCGTGTCTTGTAGACGGTGCTCGTGCCGAAGTCATGGTGTCCACTACCTCTTGGGGTAGGTCACCTAGAACCTCCACGTCCTGTCCAGGGACCAGACATGGAGTTTCCAGAGGTCCGGACATGGGTGCCACAGGGTGGCCCGTCTCTGAGAAAGTAGATCATTCCTCAGAGGAATCCGCCAGGGAGGGGCTGTCACAAGAAGCATCAGTTTCCAGCAACCAGGTCTGAGTGGGCCAGTAGGGTGCCATAAGCAGGACCTGCTCCTCGTCCTCCCTGAGTTTGCACAGTGTCTGTTCGAGAAGGCTCACTGGGGGAAACGCATATTTGTGCAGGCCCCGTGGCCAGCTGTGTGTTCTCTCGGTTAGGGAGCAGAACAGCTGGCAGTGAGAGGTTTCTCGAGAGGCAAGATGCTTCTGACTCCAAAGGTGGAGGTGGCGGGCGAGTTGCTACATACAACGGGAGCGCAGACCACCTTATCGGTTGATGTATCGCAGTGTTGTCCATTCAGACCAGCACGTGTTTACCTCGTAAGCGCCCTTTGAGACGGTTCAAGGCAAGGCGCACTGCTAACAACTCTAGGCAATTGATATGCCACTGCAGTAGGGGGCCTGTCCACACCCCCGAGACTGCTTGCCCCTTGTAGGTGGCACCCCAGCCGGTGGTGGAGGCATCCGTGTGTACCACATCATGCCTAGAGACCTGTTCTAGGGGCACTCCTGCCCGAAGAAATGTGAGGTCTGACCACGGGGTGAATGTTTGGCGGCAAGCCGGTGTAACTTGGACCTGGTGAGTGCCATGCTACCACGCCTTGGGACTGAAGCGGTCCCATATGAAGCAGCCCCAGCAGCGTAACTGCCACTGCAGCTGCCATACGCCCCAGGACCCTCTGAAATTGCTTCAGTGGGACCGCCGTCCTGCCCTTGAACGAATTCAAGCAGTTCAATGCCGACTGAGCACATTCCTCTGTGAGGCGTGCTGTCTGTTCGACCGAATCCAACTCCATACTGAGAAAAGAGATCCTCTGCGTTGGGGAGAGTTTTCTCTATTCCCAGTTAACCCGAAGACCCCCTCTGCAACTTTCGTGAAGACACGGGGAGACAGGGACAGCCCAAAGGGCAGGACCTTGTACTAATATGTTCGTCCTTCGAACGTGAACTGCAGTAAGGGTCTGTGGTGCGGAAAGATTGAGACATGAAATTATGCGTCCTTCAGGTCGATTGCTGCAAACAAATCTCGGGGACGGATGCACCCAAAGATGCGTTTCTGCGTCAACATCTTGAACTGTAGCCTGTGAAGAGCCCAATTCAAGACATGCAAGTCAAAAATCGGTCGTAACCCACCACCTTTCTTGGGTACAATGAAGTAGGGGCTGTAAAACCCTGTCTTCATATCGGCTGGAGGGACCGGCTCTATCATGTCCTTTGCCAGCAGGACCAATCTCTGCACGCAAGACATGAGCATCGGCTGCCTTCACCTATTTTGAAGTGGATGCCCCTGAACTTGGGGGACGCCGGTTGAACTGAATCGCATAGCCGAGTCTGATGTTCCGAAAGAGACAGCGAGACGGGCTGGGCAGCGCTAGCCAGGCTCCCAGATACCGTGCAAGCGGGATCAGTGGGACCACCACATACCCGCAGTGGGGCAGCGAGGTGGAACACAGGGACCCGGCATAGGCGGCTCGCAGGTAGACCGAAGCAGGGTCTGAGTGTGCGGTGTAACACTTACCTGGTTCCATGGTTGGGCAGAGGGTGCGTGGGTATGGCCTTTGATAGCACTCTCGAACCGCCCACTGCTGCTCGCTGGCGACAGAGGAGGATGAGTGAGATACGGGACTGGCCCGTCCACTTAAACACACGACTATCTGTGCCCTCTTGAGACCCAGAGATAGAGGAAACTGCTCTTTGGTCTAGATTTTGGGTACCACTGACTGTGAGGTCAGCGGTGGGACAAAACGAAACAAAAGATTCTCCGCCCGGCCCTCCTCCGGGGGAGGGAGTGGTGCATTCACCATCTCCCAAAAAGCAGCTCCCTCCATCTCTGGGTCGCCCGTCTCAGGGCCTCTTGCTCTTACACTTGCCACCAGGTTTGGCGGGGGCCTGAACGGGCATGGCGGCTGTGACCGGCTCCATGGTGCTGCTTAGCTGGAGGCTGCTGTGGCTGCGGATGCAGGGGGACGTCCTTGGCGACAAGCAGGCTGAGTTGCTGTGGCCGGCGGACAGGTGGAGGGAGCAGCTGCCCGTCGGGGCAGGATGTGACGAAAAGCCTCAGTCTGCATCTGTGCAGCCGAGAACTGCTGGGCGAAGCACTTGACTGCGTCGCCGAAGAGGCCGGTCAGGGACATGGGGGCATTGAGGAACCACACTTTGTTGGCATCCCTCATGTCGGCTAGACACAGCCATAGATGGCGTTCCTGGACCACAAGTGTGAATATCGCATGACCCAGAAAACTCGCTGTGACCTTCGACGCTCGGAGCGCGATGTCAGTTGCGGTTTGGAGTTCCTTTAGGACTTCCAGATCATGACCCCCCTCATGCAGGTCCTTCAGATCCTTAGCCTGGTGGACTTGCAGTAACGCCATGGCATGTAAGGCGGATGCAGCCTCTCCACAGGCCACATAAGCACTGCCAGTCAGACCAGACGAGTACCTACAGGCCCGGGAGGGAAGGATTGCCCCGCCAGGTGGAAGTGGTATTAGGACACAACTGCATCGCTACCGACCGCTTCACTGGGGGGACCCCCATATACACCTTGTCTGCACCACCGTCAAGGGTGGTGAGGGAGGAGGAGCTAGTAGGTCAGTTTCAGGCAGTTAAAGGTGCCATCCACGACCTGGTAAGCTCCTCATGCAATTCCGGGAAGAATGGTACCGGAGTGGGCTGCTGAGAACAAGTGCAGGCCACCCCAAGAAACCAATCATCCAACCTCGAGGGTTCAGGACGTGGTGGAGGTGTCCACTCGAGCCCTACCCTCTCTGCAACCCAGGAAAGCATAGCCGTCATCTCTGGATCCGAATCGCTGGATCTTCCTCTCCAAAGAGTTCCGGCTCACCCTCCGATGCAGCGATAGACATCCGATCGTCGGGAGGAGCCCCAAAGGATACGGCTGGTACGCTCTTTGTAAAGGGCCCAGGAGTGGGTAATCCTCAGAAGTTGGTTCCTCGGAGGAGTCACCCCCACTGTGACCACATTCAGAAAAGCACGGGTGAAATGGCACCTTTAAAAAGACAGACCGTCGTCTTTACAAAGACGCACCGGTGTATGCTCTTTTATGAAACTGCTCTTATAAGTGCTGAAGCGCACAGGGGAGATGGCCACGTGCAACACAAACGGGGTAGTACAGCCTGATGTGTGCAACCCACTCGACACGGGAAACCACCACCGCTGTAGCGCCGTGCCACCAACACAAAAGAAGCTCCAAAGAGCGTGCTGAAAACTCGTCTTCTCTCCAGTACAAGGTCAGGAGCAGAACAGTCACACCGCTCGGCTCCGAAGCGAAAAGCTGAGTATGAAAATAAGCAGCTGGATGCAATCATCGCATGCCAGTGTGCATTGGCTCGTTTAGTTTACACTCGAAATAGATTGGACTCTTTAACGAGATTCCCAATTCGTCGGTCACCGACGTGATGTTGAAAGTGACTGACTGAAAGGGAACTCAGGGTCTTAACCTAATCCCAGCCAGACAGGAATGTTTGTTATGGTATGTTAGAATTGTATTGTTTTCCAACTTATTTGTTTTTCCCACAGTGAAGAAGAATTACCCACACCCAGTGCACTTGAAGAGAAGGTAATGGAGACACACAAATGAAGCATATAAATATACTGTACAGGTGATGTGTATTTAAACAGCATGTGAATATACTATTCAAATAGTGTTTTGTAAAATCACAGACAAAAACACAAAAGAAATCACAAAGGATCACAGTTTGAATCAGTAGCAGTGTGGAGACTCTTTTGTAAACAGGCTTATGGTGACCTTCAGACATGAGTGTTTAGTATACAAGAGTGTGTGGCAGACACAACTGGGCTGTCTGGAGGTGTGCTCTCATGTGACATATTCACAGCTTGGAGGTGGTTGATGCATTTTCCAGCTGACATTTGTGCAGTTGTGTTGTGGCACGTAAAGGTTAAATACTATGGGTGGAAAGAGTGAAAGCTGTCTTCAGAACAGATATTAAGAACATCAGGGTGATCTGAATGCCTGTTCTGCATCTAATCCCAGAGTACTTGTACAAACGAGGAAAGAAATATTTCTTCCCTAGACAAAAACACAAGAGGGTTTTTTTATGTCATGTAGCAGATATTTATAATTGCCTGTCTGTTAATCGTCTCTGAGAATTGTAACCTTGTGTGATATGCACCATATTCTTTCAGCTTTTTTGTATGTATGTATGTATTATGTATGATTATTTTGTGTTTACTGGAAAATTATGAAAATTAAACTAAATTAACTTTTTAATCAAATCTATTTTTTGTTTTTGCAAATCATCATTCATCAGATTTCATTGTTTTTTTCCTGTGTAGCAAAAACAGGTGGAGATTGAGAGGGTGCAGAAATGGTTGAAGATGCTGAAGAACTGGAGCAAGTACAGGAACAGTGACCGGGTGAGCATCACCTTGAGAGGTTGTTATAATTTCTCTGAAAACCAGACAGAGAACTGTGATGTAGCTACATGGAGAACCAGAGTGATGCTTAAAACACATTCATGCAGAGGCGGACAGTAGTGAAGTATTTTTACTCTGCTGTAAAAGTACTTTTCAGGTGTCTGTACTTTATCAGAGTGTTTTTCTTTAGAAAACTTTACTTCACAACATTCCAAAGTATAATATTGTACTTTTTACTGCACTACGTTTCATATTAAATATAATTTAATACATAATTACATTAGAAATCTATTACTTTCTTACTTTTACTCAAGTAAAAGTAATTCAAGGATTTTCTTGAGTACAAGAAAGTACTACATTTTTAATGTTCTTAAGTATTAAAGGTAAAACAAACAACAACTTTTATTTATGAAATGAAGTGCAGTAAAAAGTATGACATTATGCTTTGGAATGTAGTGAAGTAAAGTTTTCCAAAGAAAAACACTGAGAAACAACTGATACTTTTTAAATTTACTTGAGTAAAGTAAAAATACTTCACTACTGTCCACCTCTGCACTCATGTGCATTTACTCCTGGTGTCTTTGTGCAGATGATTAAGAGGGTGTATAAAGGCATCCCAGTACAGCTGAGAGGAAAGGCCTGGGCCCTTCTACTGGACGTCGAGAAAGTCAAGAGTGACAATGCAGGAAAATATGAGGTACAGCATAAAAACATGCATACATACACATTCACACACAATAGCTCAGCAGATTTAGCTGTGACCTATGGACACTATGTCGCCGCAAGTCTCCACTGGCCAAAAACCGTCTGTTTGGTGAGAGTGGGATTACTGGAGTGTTGTTGTGGTAGAGCTATTTCAAAGGGATTAGGAGTGTGATCTGAAAACATACATATGGCTGATACAAGGCATGGAAAGAGATAGAAGAGAACAAAACACAAGCAAAACAAACCTCCAGAGCTGCTGAGATTTTACAACAAGCTAAAAGTATTTGCAGCATCCACCTTGTCTCTGAGCAAGGTGCCCTGGTGGTGATATCATTTATTGCATGTTTTACGTGAATGTATTACAAAGCTGTCTTGAATACTTGATTTTGATTGGTCCCTTTGATTGGTCTCTCTCTCTCTCTCTCTCTCTCTCTCACTCTCTCTCTCTCTCTCTCTCTCTCTATATATATATACTGTACTACCGTTCAAATGTTTGGGGACAGTAAGATTTTTAAAAAGAAAATAATAGTTTTATTCAGCTTAGACACATTAATTGTTCAAATTAATGTTCAAATTTGATACTATTGATCAAAAGTGTCAGTAGACATTTATAATGTTACTAAATAATTTTATTTCCAAATAAATGCTGTTCTTTTAAACTTTGTCACATTTATGTTCTGTTTTGAGGACTTTTATGTTGTTATATATTTCTGCTTCCTTTGATCCCTGTGTTTATTTCCTTTGTTCTGATTTTATTTACTTTTGATTATGTCCTAGATAGTTTCCAAAGTAACTGTTCTTTACCTGTGTCTTGTTTGGTGGTATATATTGCCCTGTGTTTATATTATGGGTTTGTTGGTTATTTTAACTGTTTATGGTGTTTCACATTATCACTGTTTAACTGTTTTTAATCAAATAAATGTAGCCTTGGTAAACATAAGAGATGTTCAAAAACATGAAATCTGACCCAGGTAGTGTATATATCATGAGCAGAAAAAAAAATCATAAGAGAGTAAAAGTAGCTACAGTATGTAATAAATGAGATAATGTAAAGTCAGCTGTTCATTTTGGCAAAATAAACCCACTCAGTATTGTAGGTATAGTATTACATAATTAAATCTATATATGGTTGTCTTCTAATGTCATTTTGTAATGCACGGTAGCTTGTCAACATCAAATCTGTTTTTGATGAAGCTATTTGTTTGATTGACAGAGAATGAAGGAGCAAGCCCAGCTGTACTCTCCAGAAATCAAACAGATTGACCTTGATATCAACAGGACCTTTCGAAACCACATTATGTTTATGGATCGATTCGGTGTAAAGTAAGTAACATATGCATGCATTAAAATGTGCTATTATTAAATAAATGTAATTATATGCCTTGATGCATTGCAGCTCTGCAATAAAATTCATAGAAATAAAAATTACAGATAGAATGTGTGTTCTACAGATACTTGTGCTAAACATCACTTGCTGCGTCTGATCTGTTCCTCTGCTACATGTGCAACAAAAACCACTACTATCTGTAAGCACACTAACAAAGAACCACATTTTGAACAGATTCTTCTGACATGCTTTCAGGCTTACTCTGACCAGTTGAGGTCATTTAGCTGTTGTAGTTTCACATGAGAGTAATGGCTCATATAACCTGTTACAAAATGCCCACTTCCACTTTTTGTCTGTTAGTGAGTATATAGATTGTATTGTCTTCCTATGACATTTTCATACAGTTGTCATGTAGGAAACTTTGTCCTTGGACTGATTTCAGAAGTTTTTTATGCTATTGTAATTGCAGTGTAAATACATCTGTGGAATCTCTGAGCAGCATTAAACAGTCTGTGTAAATGCATCTAATGCTTCAGATGCAGCTTGCGTACCACTTCTGGAGTGCAAAGATGGATTTTGTTGATACTGATTTAATTTGAATGGTAATAGTCCTATAGTGTCTTATTTTTCTAATTGCATTTATTAAAAATATATATGAATTCACATGAAATTTGATGCGCACATATAGTAAGGTTAGAAAATTTGCCCTTATAAAGATTAAAAAAATGTCTCTGGAAATCAATTTAAAGGAAATAACATCCTTAATGGAAACACTAGTTTAAGGAACAATTCTCACTATTAACTAGTAACTAGCATATTGGCTGTTTATTAGTACTTATAAAGCACATATTAATGCCTAATTCTGCATGACCGTATTTTAGATTCCTTAACCCTACCCCATACCTAAACTGAACAACTACCTTATTAACTATTAATAAGCAGCAAATTAGGAGTTTACTGGAGCAAAAGTCATAGTTAATAGCTAGTCAAGACTGAGAATTGGTCCCCAAACTAAAGTGTGACCGATAAGACCATAAAATACAGAAACAGATTTACAGAGCCAGCACATGTACAGTACATGTGTTTATTGCTAAATTAATTCACAAATTTGCTCAAATATTTATTCTATCATGAAAGTGCCAGTGTGTATGTTCATCAACATCTTAGTCTCTATTCACTGCTTCTGCAGACAATCTCTGGAATTGGTTTCTCAATTTTGATAGCTTGTTCCCCAAGCAGACCAGAAAAGGGAGTGTTGTCACTGAGGATTTAATAGATTGCAGGCCTTACAGAGCCAAGTGGAAAGTCTTGCTCATCTGAAGGGTGTCATGGGGAGGGGCTCAACTTTAATTTGAAAGAACGAATGCATCTTTGTGGAAAATATGGATGTTTGCTTCACGTGTTTCTGATGTGTGTTTGTTTCATTGTGTACTTTCAGTAAAAGACAGAGTTTGAGCCTGACAACAGTTTTCTTCTCTTAACAGGCAACAGTCTTTGTTCCATGTGCTCTCTGCGTACTCTGTTTACAATACGGTACGTGTGCAATCACATCCATGCTTAATAAAGAGATGTTACGTAATTGCTGACTTTGTCTGTTCTTGTCCACAGGAAGTGAGTTACTGTCAGGGCATGAGTCAGATTGCTGCCATACTGTTAATGTTCATGAATGAAGAAGATGCATTCTGGGCTTTGTCACAGCTCTTAACCAATCAGAAACATGCCATGCATGGTGAGCCCTCCTCATTTATTCTGCTCTTGGCTATGAGTTTTAATGTTTATTTAATTTCTTTTAACGTATTATATATGCTTCATGAGGCCATTTACGAGATCAGATACAGTTCCATTCAAATGTTTTGGGTCAGTATTCTTTAATGATTTTAAAAGAAGTCCAAGGCTACGTTCAGTTTGATTAAAAAAACAACAACAGTTAAACAGTAAAATTGTGAAATATCATTACAATAAAAAAAAAAATGGTTACACAATTTATTTCTGTAATGGCAGCAGCCATTACTCCAGGCTTCAGTGTCACATGATCCTTCAGAAATCATTATAATATGCTAATTTGCTGCTCAAGAAACATTTCTTCTTATTATAAAAGTTGAAAACAGTCATGCTGATTAATATTTTTATATGCTCCATTTTTTTTTCAGGATTCTTAGATCAATAGAAAGTTTAAAAGAATTAAAAAAACAACAACAGTTAAACAGTAAAATTGTGAAATATCATTACAATAAAAAAAAAAATGGTTACACAATTTATTTCTGTAATGGCAGCAGCCATTACTCCAGGCTTCAGTGTCACATGATCCTTCAGAAATCATTATAATATGCTAATTTGCTGCTCAAGAAACATTTCTTCTTATTATAAAAGTTGAAAACAGTCATGCTGATTAATATTTTTGTGGAAACCATGCTCCATTTTTTTTTCAGGATTCTTAGATCAATAGAAAGTTTAAAAGATTTTTTTAAAGGATTTATTTGAAATAGAAATCTTTGTAACGGTTTAAATGCCTTTACTGTCACTTTTAAACAATTGAATAAAGTATTGATTAAAGTATTGATTTCTTTCAAGACGAAAAGTCTTACTGACCCCAAACGTTTTGAATGGTAGTGTACATAACACTTGTGAATTTAACACAGGTTATTGTTGTAGTTCTAGTACTGGGAAACACGTGACTTTTTTATCATGCCTTGACATTTTCAACCCATGACAGGATTCTTTGTTCCTGGTTTTCCCAAACTTCAGCGTTTCCAAAACCACCACGACCAGATTCTCTCCAAACTTTTACCCAAACTAAAGAAGCATTTGGTAAGATTGCTGTGGCACACACAAGACTGCAAAATGAACTCAGAACATATAAGATTAGTTAAGTTACAGTAAATACAGCTATTAACTTCATGTGTGTCCGTTTCGCTAATGCTTAGTTTTCTTCCCTTCTCATTCCTTTTTTTTTCTGTTTATATTCACTCGCATCAGGATAAGGAGCAGATGTCCAGTGGGATTTACAGCACAAAATGGTTCCTCCAATGTTTTATTGACAGGGTAAGTGTTTGATCTGAGCAGATGCATTGTAACCATACTGACAAGGGTGTTATGTAAGCAGTGATTAGTAGATAGGTATACATGCTCAATCATATGCTTAGCTTAGATCTCAAAGCCAAAGAAATGATACATCAACTGTGTGTTTTATAGTGTTGGTTCAGGTCACTGCAGACAATCCTAAAAGTGGTGATTCGTGAGCTGAATGCAGGTGGAGTTTTGGCTTTCATTGAATGCAACTGTTGAGTCAGCTGTTCTGTAACTGTGATTATGTTCAACCATCGAGGGATGGAAGCACTTCTGGATCTGCTCAAGTGAAAGGTGTTTATATGAAGAGCTGCTGGCAGTGAGACTTGCTCAGACTTGTTCAGCTAAAAACTTTATCTTGAGGTGTTGAGTGGACATTCAGGTTTATGCAGGCAGAGATTTTGACTCATATTGTAGATGTGGACACAGAAGGGGGAACTGGAAATGGATGTCAACAGCAAAGCACTGATAAGTGTTTAATATAAAAGATCAGGTGTAGATACAGAAAAGTCTGAAGCCAAACACTGATCCGTATAAGAAGGCACCTGTGAGGAAAGAAACTGCTTAACCTGGAGAAACTACAATATATGACCGTATCTTCTAGCTTTGTGTTCATTGGGTGTTTCTTCACATATAACACACTTTTCACTAGTTTATTTAAATAGACTAGGCATATAGTCCATCCAAAAATGAAAATTCTGTCATTATTTATTTATTGTGTCAAAATGCTTTAATTTGTAATGTATATAAATTATGTATGTATGTCTACTGGGTTAGTTAAAAAATATAAAGCCAAAAATGAAAATTCTGTAATTACTCGACCTCATGTCATCCCAAACATGTATAGCTTTCTATTTTCTGTTTAACACAAATGAAGATATTTTGAAAAATAGTGTTTTCCCCCCATAAGTCATTAAGGTCCAAATTATGTTTAGATCTCTTCTTCATACATAAGCAATTTACATGTTTTGTATAATTATATAATGATATTAAAATGTCTTTGAAATTGCTATTATAAAATATAATTAAATATAAACTGAAATTATTTAGGTTTATTTGACCTAGTTTTACAAAATAATTCATCTCTTTATAATAGATATTCCTAGTATTATATTAAAGGTATTGAATATAAGGATAAAACATAAAAAATCTATATAAAGTAAAAAGTGGTAAAAAAAAAAAGAATGAAGACATGGTAAATAGTTTGCAATAGTTTAAATAGTTTAAAAGTACTTCTTCCTCTCTCTTTCTTTGTCAGTGACTCTTGAAAGCGGGAGTAGTGTGCAAACAGCAGGCAGACAAGGGTGTTTCAATGTTTACTCTGTGCATACACACAATCCTGTGGGTTTGGCTCAGGAGGAAAGAGAGCAGACACTGTCAGCACTGCAGAATTCGGTCCAGCTCAGTTTCAGAGCTGTGCTTGTGGCCTGGCAGCATTCTCGCTGAGGGAGATTAGCTTTAGACCAGCAGAGGCCCCGGTTTAAAACTGGATTTGAGGATGAAAATATTCTACACATTTATGTTTTCCTTTATGCTATGAGGACCTTTGTGCTGAGCAGTCGGTCTTAGTTTATCTACGGATTTGTCACCTTTTCCAGACCCCATTCACTCTGACCTTACGTCTGTGGGACATCTTCATCCTAGAGGGTGAGAAAGTTCTGACAGCCATGGCTTACACCATCCTTCAGCTCCACAAAAGTGAGTTCCTCTTTTTACTGAAATTAACAATAATTGAATCCAACAATTTACAAAATCTACACCATGTCTAATGACAACCTCATAGTGCCATTTACCTCAAATGCTAATAGGCCTTGACATAAATTAAACCCTCTCAGCACATTATTGAAATCTATTGACTTTAGATTCTCCTGTGTAAAATGACTAACTGAAGTTAATCATGTTCAGAACGATTGCTTAAGATGTCTCTGGAGGACCTGAGAGAGTTCCTGCAGGAGAAGATAGGAGAGTCCATCTACCTCAATGATGACATTGTCATAGAGCAACTTAAAGTTTCCATGTCTGAACTCCGCAAAATGAAGCTTGACCTCCCACCACCAGGTTCAGCCATTTTCTTTACATGATACTGTATGTAACTGAATGAAGCTGTATACTTGTGTCGTTTTTTGAATGCTTTAATCAATTAGGAAATCTCACTGTGAATCATTCTATGGAATCTACCCCCTTTGTATCCTACATATGCATATGAAATGACTTAATTTTTATTTTTTTGGTTTTAGTTGACATCATTTTATAAGATAATATTGAATGATACAATACCTTTTTTTAAGGAATACTTTTATTCAATAAGGACACATTCGATTGATCAAAAGTAACAGTAAAGATATTTATAATGTTACAAAAGATTTTCATTTTTAAATACATGCTGTTCTTTTGAGCTTTCTAGGAATCCTGAAAAAAATGTGTTATGCTTTCCAAAAAAAAAAAAGTAGCTCAACTGTTTTCAATGTTAATAATAATAAGAAAAGTTTCCCGAGCACCAAATCAGCATGTTATAATGATTTCTGAAGAATCATGTGAGACTGGAGTAATGGCTGCTAAAAAGTCAGTTTTGCATCACAGGAAGAAATTATGTTTTAAAACATAAAAATAGAAAACGGTTTCATTTATTGTATTTTTATTAAATAATTTGGTAAGCATAAGAGACTTCTTGCTATTAAATTCTATTTATAATAAACATATTATTATACAACAGAAGTGTCAAATTAACTGTATGTTACCTTTCTTAAGACAAGGCATAATTATATCACAACATATAGTAAAATGCTATATTTTTTGTGATGGCAAAATGCAATTTATTAGCACTTTAACAAATTGTTTACCTAATAAACTTAATTAATTCTAAAATCAAGTCCAAAGAGCACCTGTGTCATAGAATGACCAATTATAGTTGTTGTTGATCATTTTAACAGTAAAATACTCATTATTTCAGTATTCATACTGTATATTACAGTTTTTCTCGATTGCTTAAACACATTTCTTGAAACTATGCCTCATATTCTCAAAACAGTAAACACAAATCCATAACGTCTCACCCAATTCCCCAAACATCCTATTTTCAGGTCAGAATGAAGCTCTACACTCCACCATTCACTCTTGCTGAAAGACCAAACTTTGGCCTCAGACATCACACACAAGCCCTCAAAAACACACACACTACAACATAGTCTTACACACTGGTGAGATAAATTCAAAACAATACTACAAAAACCAAAAACAAAAACCAGTAATAAGTTATGTTGCCTGTGGTTCTCCCCTGCAAGGAACTTTTCACATAATGAACACGTGTATACATTTGCACGCAGTGGAATCCTCTTGCATGCCTGATCCACCCTGGCATCAGCTCAAATGTCTAGTCAGGCTTCTTCCATGCCATCGTCTCTGTGTCCTACAAAAATAGAAGTATTGATTACTGTAACTGTAACATCCTTTTTACAAAATGGAAGCAGACAGAAACTCTATCTGTATGTAAGGCAATTTGATGCATGTGTTGTAACAGAGTACAGCACTCACAAGTTACAGTAGAGTACACTGAGGTACATCTACCTGTTTTCCTCC